ACTGTAAAATGGCTTTAAGAAAAAAGGTGTTCGAAGGATAAAAACTTGAAGATAAAGGCATGAAATGTATAACAGTTTCTGAAATGTAAAGTATTTAAAACGGAAAGAAAGCATTTAAATGCAAGGCATCAGTGAGAATATTTCGAATGAAAGTACTTTAAATGTAAAAACTTGTAAATGGTATTGACATAAAGATAAAGGAAAGTACTGGAAATGATAAAGGGTTTTCATTAAATCATAAACATGTGGTGTTATCATACGTACATTGCTCTTGCATTCGTTTCCCTAGCCATGTGGTAATTTGAATGTTTACTGAGTTTTTTTGTACAATAGATATGACACACGAAATCCTAATGCTAAGACTTCTATTTATACTACTTCGACCATAACGGTCTTGCTATAAGATTTTGCCACGTTCAGAACATGCAGAGCAATGCCTCTCTCTTGCTTCCACGCGTCTTCGAATGCTCCAGTGCATATATTTCAAATTTCGAACATCCCGCTTGCATTTGACTTTCAAATGTTTTGGCACTTCTTCGCTTCGAACGCATTCCTTAGATACAGCCTTGTTATCATTTCGAGACTTCTTTGGATATATTCTCATAACTGTCACTCGAAGCTCCAAGCTTTGATATGCTCATTCGAAGCACTGCTTCTACTATTTCGAAACATGACGTTTTGTTTCATTTCAATCGAAACGTCCAATTTACTTTGCTTCTAATAATATTATCAAAATCTTCAGCCAACACTAGGCTGAAAAGAAGTGCACCTAAAGAAAAACCTTAGGTATTTGTCAAGCGACTCCTCTCGAGTTATGTCATTCTTAGAAGGCGTCATTGCTGCAAGAAGAAGGCTTTCGTTGGCATATTGGGAAAATACAATCTCATGTGCTTCAGAAAGGGGCAGTTTGAGCTGGCTCACAAAAGTGGCATTTAACCACAATTGAAGCATCCAGAAAGGCCCATCAAGCAGATAGTTGGCAGTAAATGAAAGTGAGGTCATATAATCGACCGCCACACTGACCGATTCATAGAGCGACCCCAAAATAAGTTTGCTCAGGCACATGTTTCGACCCAGATGGAGGTAATGAGCTACCACAATGAATCATTTAGCTACCTTCAAAGATCGACTGCAGAAGACATAGTTGGAAAGCCACAAGGCTAAGAAGGCAATGTGCTCTTCGTCAGACACAGTGTCGAAATCTTTAGTGTGAAAACACTCCATATATTTGGTGAAGCCAACAATGTCCTTTTCAAAAGGGATAACATTTTTGTCTGCTTCAGTGGGAAAGAATGCTTCACCTGTGGTACGGAGACCAGTGATGGCCGCAATGTCGAACAGGGTAGGAGTAAGCATCCTAGCTGGAAAATAGAAAGTGTTTATGGAGCCTTACCAAAAATATAGTGCAGAAATCAGCATGTGATTGCAATAACTAGGGCCAACCCTAGAAAGCTAAATCAAGTCAAAAATGCCTTGGGCCTTCCAAACGTCACCTTTAACTTTCTCCACTTTATTCAACCATGCAATGTAATCTTAGTTAATAGAAGGATCAGAGTGAAAGACTTTAGATGTCCAGTAGATGTGTGAAAAATCTATAGGGCAATCTCTATTGATAGGGTTTTATTGTTTTGTGAGTGGGGAAATAACTTTCTAATTGTTTAGGTGACCTAATATTATCAGGAATATGCCCCAATAGAGCGTAAGCAATGTTGTTACAAATGAAGGGAAGCTATAGTTGGGAGCAAAAAGTTTGGAGATTTCGTGTCGGTGTTGGTTCCAAATGAAGGCATTTTGATTATGAATGAAGAACTCACTCATGTTGGGAACCAGTTCAATTTCCTGGGGAGTTTGAATGTGCTCAGAGATTTTGCTTGAAGCGGCCATGAAGATGGTGGAAAGTTTTTTCTGGGTAGAAATGAAAGTAAGAATTTCTTTTATGTACGAAAATAAAGAGCTTGAGTATGCAGAGAAAACATAGAGAGAAGAATGAAGATATGAAAGGGGTATTTATACCATCAAGGAAACCAAATGTTTGGGAAGAAAGTGGAAAACATGTGGCAACACGATCGATATGTGTCAAACAGGTGGCGGCTGAGTTGAAGGAGTTGGTTAATTGAGGGCCACGATTATCCTAGGAAGTTTAAGCTAGAAAGTGGGGAAGTTGTTGTATAATCGTTGATGTAACGTTTGAGGGAAAAGGTCATGATTATGATGACGTCACTTCGCACTAAGAGAAAAAGATTAAAAATGTCTGTTTCTGTTCTTTCAATTGAAAAGGACATTTTGGGGGTCAATTTGTTGGCTAGGATTTTCACAAAGGGTTAAAATCCAAAAAGGTTCTTTGAGAACTTTGAATTATATGAAGTCGACCACAAAAGCAGTTAACCGAGAGAGATTTCGCAAATAGTCAATTGGTCTTATGGACACAGTCGACCAAAAAAGAGGCCTCATGAGGAATGGATTGGGCCCAGGAATGTTAAAAAGCCCAAAGAGTGCATAACTAGCAAAGTAAAGTGTTATAGATGGAGAACCTGGGTTTGATAGCAGGGATGGGGAATGCGGGTTCACAGAGGGAAGTTACAAGAGATACATGGCATATAAAGAAGTGAAGCCCACTGAAAAGTAGTTATTTTTATGTATTATAAATAAAGCACTTAGTGCATAGTATCAGAGGTTCAAACTTTCACATTCCTACACGCTAGTCACTCAGAGTACCCAAGCGAACCAGTGAAATGAGTCAAGCTAGGGAAATGTGTGTTTGAATCAACCCATTTTCAACTATTTTGATGTTATGTCATCTATTTTTACAATTTAAAACGTCTTTTGTTTTATTTTACAAGTCCTGCTTTATTGCTTTTAAATTCATTTTGCCTTAGTCAAACAAACCCTTTTGTACATACTTTGTGAAAACACTCTAAAACTGAAGCACTGTACTAAGATTCTCTAGTCGATCTCTCCAGTAAACTTTTTATTAAGAGACCAACGTTCTTTTCCAAAAGTAGAGGTAAACATCAAGACACTTATTCTTGAGATAATACGTACTGCAAGCGTAGCTCTCAAATCCCCAATCATACCTACAGAAATCTACCTTTGAGGCTCTCCTTATTCCTATAGGGAAGCTACTCGTTTAGTGTTCCTACGCAAGAACATCAGTTAATGTGTGTATCAAATTATCATAGAGGATAATTCTTTGGAATTTTTATCACATAATAGACTAGTGTGGAACAACTTACTTCCTAGAAATGTTTCTATTTTTGTGTGAAGGCTACTAAAAGAAACTCCCAACTAGATAGAAGTTGCATAGAAGGAGAGTGCTGAAGGAGGATTGTTCAAAATGCATTTTTGGGTGTAACAAAGTCAAACTTATCGATCTTTTTTTGGTGTTGTAGACACCTTAAAACTGTCTGGTCCCAAATTTCTCAGTGGATCGGAATTACTGCTAACTTTCAGACATGATCCATTCCTTTTTATATATAATTTTGTAAAACTTCTTGGTCATATTTATATCTTCATCTAAGAGACTCTCATGAATTTGGTCAGCGATGTCTTGGAAGACAAGAAATAAAAAATCTTTAATAACCAAGAACTTCACCCAAAATCCTTAATTAAGGAGATAGAAAATTTATCGTCGAGGTGGGTAAAACATAAACCAAAAGGTTTGAATCACTCTTTAGGTTCGTGCTTAGAAAATTTGCGGGAGTGCTTAATTTTTTGAGCTTTTGGTTGCTTCTATTGCTGCTATGTGGAATTGGCTTGATTTATTTTTGCTAAGGTGTTCATCAATTTAGCCAAATTAGGAATTTTGTGTCAAGTTGATGCTTGATTGAGTTCCAAGTTTGACATTTGTTTTTTCAAAATTTTGGTTAGAGTTATGAGATTGCTTGGAGCTTCAATCCATAAAGAGGCGCCATTTGTTTATTTTGGTAGTCAATTGAAATAAATAAAAGTTTCACCATTGGGGCCCTGTATTGGAGGTATTGGTGCATTGCAGAAGCAATGATGTTTGCTAATCAAAATTTGAGGGATTAGTGCTTTGCAGAAACATTGTTGTCTGTAAATATTGGTGATCTTTTGTTAGAGCTCAAACGAGACAGTGGGAAGAGCTTGTATCACGCGACAATTGTAGATTTGAGAGGATTTGACTAGCTACATATGTTTTTCGTTTCATTAAAATGTTAACATTACTTAAGATGTTTTTAAGGGAGGAGAGTGTTTTATTATGTATATCTCCATTTTGTGCTATTTTTGCAAAAAGTTAGTATCATTTGTTATAGAAGTGAAAAAGTGCGGGCGTAGCATTTTTTGTCATTTTATATCTTCCTAATGTTGATTACCTGATTGTTCGTTGGAAAAGGGTGATAGTTTTTAGTGTTGATTTGAAGTTATACCGAGTCTTAATTTATTAGATGATTAAAGTATTCATGTCAAATAATGGGAGGGAAATGATTATTTGATTCTTTTGGTTTGTAGGTAGGATCTTAGGCTTTGTATAGAAGTTTGGAATGGAGGGGAAGAGAGAGCTTCCGAAAAAAAGATTTGGACAAAATATAGAAAAATCTTTAATGATAAGTGGATGTTTATTATTAATATATTATTAATTTTTATAATATTATAACAACATAAATTAAAATTGAAGAATTTATTTAAGCTCTTCAAAATTCTCAAAATCCCCTCGTTCAATATAATTTTTGAATTCCCTCAAATTAAAAATATTTTGTATTATGAATAAAATAAAACTCCCAAAAATCTCTTTAACTAAATCACTCAATTTGTTTACTTTATTATTCTCTATTTTTAAAATCCTCAAATGTAAGCATTTCTTATATGTATAGATTATATAATTAATAAAAAATTCTTAAAAAATATATATCACAAAAGTTAAAAGTGGCTGACAAATACTCAGTCAAGCCTCCTTTCATCTACAATAGTATAACACATCAATTATGTATAACTTTTAAATCTGATTAAATTAGTTTACTATTAAAAAAAAAAGAAAATTTTTACATAATTCGATCCGATAATGAAGGGAGTCTTCTAAAGAAATTCAACCCTGGTGATGGCAAGCGATCACGAAAGATAGGGTGGCGAAGATAATAGAATCCAAAAGCCATAGCCACCATCTTCGAAGGCACCAAATACAATATCGTCGCCACAACCAAACATAAGAAAATAAAAATTCCAGTAGCACATGGATCACGCCAAGTGACCACCGCTTGCACGCGTTCCCCCTGAGTCGCCAAATCTCCCAACACTGTCTGCACACGTGCCCCAAGCGTACGCAACTTATCATACCTCATACGCACTGTTTCACCTGACCTACTACTTGGCATTGTATCAAACTCTTCATCCAACTCCTCCATATCCACCACATCAGCAAGTGAAATCTTCGAATCAAAATGTGGAAGAGGATCCCGTGCACGAAATCTATAATTCCAGGCGCCAATAACAAAGACATAAAATGCAAGTGTAGGAACGATCAAATCAGGAAACCAAACCAACATAACAAGTAAAGCGTGAACAAGAATTGTAGCTGTTGGATTCTTCCATCCACGAGTATCCTCTATCCACCTTACGATCTCAATCAAACCTGCAACCACATTAATTATCCTATACCAATTTGCACGAACCTTCCTAATACTAAAATTATGTGAATCAACATCAAGCATATAGAACACAACTTCTTTTCTCAATGGTGGCTCACACCTCGAAAGATGTCCTGCAACCATTTTCACCGCTGTGTTTCGCAACACCTCTTGATGAACCACACCCAATGGTTTTATATGATGCATGAACGGTAACATCGACTGAGAGTACACGTGGAGAAAATCTAACCGTTGAACCGTGCGAACAAATCTTATCGCTAACTCAATCCCACCCATCTTTTTTAAACCACCATGCGTCAAAACCAAAAGCGGATACACATTTTTATACACACGACCATTTTGAAGCGTAGAAATACGTATCCGAACTTTACCAATACGAAAATCATGTCTCGTCAAGTCATTAGTATTTTCGGTGTTCGAATCACTCAATTCGAAAACCGAACAACTATCAAAGATTCCAACCGTTAAAACAGTCGAGGGATCAAAAACCTTCCACGTGTACTGCTCATTCCATTTCGGCTCCAAACTATCCGAAACCGTCCTCGTTCGCACCCATTTGTTCCCATACTTCGCAACACAATAACCATCTGTAAAACTTTTACCGTTTATCGTTTTCATCGGTATCAAATTCTTACAACCAATGATCCCAACTTCAATAGTCCCAACCGCTGGTTTCCAAAGTTGCCTTGCCGTTGGCCGGTAATCACTACTCACGTGAGCAGCTTCATCCATCACGTGATACCCTCCATCAAAACATAACCGTAAGTGCACTCTTCCTTTGTAACTGTTTTTGTTTTCTTCATTTAAATCTTCAAAAGTAAACCAGCGTGACCCGACGTTCCGGTCATCAACTCTTCTCTCAATTGTCGCTAAAGGTACTCTCACAACACCCATTGTTATCGTAGCTTTCAGTTGCCGGTTTTCCAAACTTAAAACAATGTAATCACTTATAGAAACCGGCTCTGCTACAACAAATACAAGATCTTCATTCCACGAAACGACGCCGTTTGAAGTAACGGTCATTTTCGTCTTTAACACTTGAAATCCAATTTGGGCTCTGATTTGAAACTGACACAACGCTTGTTTTGACGGAGTAATTAACAGTGATATATCTTGAGCTTCAAGAATAGTTACACGAAGATACCATAGCTTTGGTGATTGATACACTTTTGCTTTTGAAGTCACGTGATTGGAGGTGTCACTTTTCCACGCGTCAGAAAATGATTCGTCAGCTTGTGTACCAATCCACGTGGCAACCATTAAGTCACCATGTTGTGCCCCACCACCTTCCATTCTATACCACTGTGGTGCAAGAGAACTATCCGGTGGGTCTCTCACCGGAATTTCATTTACGTCAAAACAAACACCACCAAGTAAACTAATATTCTCCACGTCAGCTTTTGTTTGCGGGTCCCACACGGTGATTTCTAATATTGGGGAAGAATCCTGTGTGTCGCGGGTGAAAGCGAATGTTTGGTTCCATTCGAATAATGTTGTTTTGAGAGCGGGTTTGGAATTAACGATTTGACCTGAACCCGAAATTGAAATCTTCACTATCGGGTTACCGTTTGTTGGTAAGTACCTTGCTTTTACTATACGAACGAAGAGATAGTGCATCTTTTCAACGAGATCGAATGTGGACCGTTCGATCAACATGCTTTCTACTGAAGCTTCTGATGCAAAACTAGCCGCTGATGATGATCTTCTAATTGGTTGTGGACCGTTGATTCCGCTGAATTTGATTTCTGAATTTGATCTCGAAATAGTTGCCGCTGTCATTTGAAATGGTTCCGGTGGTAACACATCCACCTGATCTTCAACTTCTGTAGCAGATTCTGGTTCGGACTTTGGTTCGGGTTTCGGAGATGGTTCGGTTTTCTCTACCACCGGTTGATCTTCTTCTAGCTTTTCACTTTCTGGCGATGGTTCAGAAGGCGGTGCCGGTGGTGGCTCTACTTTTTCAGTATTATTAATCTTTGCTTCATCTATCTTCTCAGGCGGTGGTGACGCTGGTTTTTCCGGTACCGGTTCCGGAGAAATTTCTTCATCTACATAGTAAATTTCCAATCCAATTTTTCCTTGTGCGGTATTGAACAAACTTTTCTTCTTCAATTCATAATAAATCAAAGCCTCTTCACCTTTTCTAACGAACTGAGTTGAACTGAGTCGAACTCGACCGAGTGAGTTTTCTCTCCGAATCGGCCCGTGTTTCTGATCATGGTAAACGTCGAGTTCTAACACGTCGCCGAAAATTTCGTTATGTTCGCCGACGTTAAACGACAGCGTTTCGTTCCAAACCGGGTTCAAGTCGCGAACCGCGGTTCGGGTTTTTTTTCTTTGACCATAGAAGTCGATTACGATGTAAGGACTTGAAGTTCCGTGACCGTCCTTTGGTGCAAGGTTTTGTGCGTCTACAACTTTCACTATGAGTTTTCGAACCGTGCCCATTTTTGTAATTTAGTTAGGGTCTCTTGAAACGGTGCGTTTAAGGTGTTGTGTTATGTGTATCTTTTCTCATGCATGGCAATGCATAATAAGTAATAAAAATGGTAAAGTTTGAGATGTGGTTGTGATTTGTGATGAGTTTTAGGGGTTTGAAAACGGTGGAGAAAGAAGATGCATTATGTTTAAGGGAGTCACTTATATATATATATATATATATATATATATATATATATATATATGTTTTTATTTTTAAAATTTTATACTATTTTGTTTTTAAAAAATATTGCCAAGCACAAAATTGTGAAGGATAAAGAGATGTGAGAAGAGTAAGGAGAAGAGTATGAAAAGGTGATGTTTGCTTATCTTGGTCTGCAAGCAGCATCTTTAGACAGTTCAATATCATAATTAGTTTTCTTTTACTTTATCATGTTAGGAAATACTAGTATAAGTTTTATTTGTATTCCTTTTGCTTTTGATAATTTATTTTTCTTAGTAGGGAAGATTCTTTGTCAAACATAGCCCATGCTTTATGGCCGTCCCTTGAAATAAAGGATTCTAAATAAGATAACATTGGAATGCTAACAAAGAATGAAAAGGAATGGCTTTTATTCTTAGGGGAATGACTTTTGTGTCACCGTTCTTAATTTAGATACAGCTTTAGTAATAGTTCTATGGCTTGTTTTGACGAAGATATGACACAACCAACACCTTTTCACACTTTTTTTTAGGGACAATGGTTCCTTAATTTGTGTGATCTACGATGTATTTTGATTTTGATGTTTTTTTTTATGTTTTTTGAATTGAAAATTAGTTTATAAAAGATAAAAGAACAGAAGATAAAGATAATTGTAAAATAGATAAATCAAAGACAAGACTTGTAATTTAAAATAAAAAAAAAACTAGAAATTGCACAGATAAATCAAAGACATTGTAATTTAAAGTAAAAAAATAAATAGAAATTACTATAAATTTAGATGTGGAAGCATTCATACATTGTTAAATTTGATCTCGTTTCTCTCTTAAATGTTGGTACTTTGAGTGTATTGCTATTAAATATGAAGAAATGTAACCCCTAACACAAATATAAAATTTTGCTTAAATAGACATCCTAGATACGTAACCGTCGACGGTTACTAGTCCATGTTGGGCTTCGTGGAAAAAACTATTTTGAATATTCCCACGTCTTCACTGGTCATGTACGTTGATAACCGTTTCCACCAATATGAATCCATGTTTGTCGACGCCTGCTCATGTCGATGATCGCATGTGCATTCGAGGTCCTTCATCGACTAGCTCCTTTTGGTCGATATCTTTTGACTTGATCGACGTTGTTGTTTTCTACGAAAACTTTATGCCTCTTCAGCCAAATAAACCCCACAGCTTAAGGCTTATAACCCCAGTCAAAAATTGCTTGTCAACAGTAGTGTGACGAAGTCTCACATTGGCTAAGAATGTGAATACTTGAGTATTTATAAGTGGGAGAATCCACACACCTATCACCTTAAGGTTTTTGGTGAGTATCTAATGTGTCTCTCACAAATGTGTGTTGCTCCTAATGTGAGAGTGAAGAGACCGACTCACTTGTATCGAAAAAATCCACACATGGTCGTGACTCATGGGTAGAAGCTTCCTGTTGAAGAGTGTGGATTGAAGAGTATGGATAGAATCGCACTTGAGGGAGAGTTCGTAATGTGGAGATTTGAGCATTCGAATTTCAACTGGGTTATCTTGTTTCCGGAAAAATTATGCGTCTTAACAAAGTTAGAGTCGTCGAAAGTATGAGACTATCCTTGACCACTCTCCTCCATAAATTTGACCGATATATATATATATATATATATATATATATATATATATATATATATATATATATATATATATATATATATATATATATATATATATATATATATATATATATATATATATATATATATATATATATATATATATATATATATATATATATATATATATATATATACTCATGAAGTATATCAATATGTTCGTTGAAATGAAGACATTTGTCTCAATCATGGCCCCTTTTGTGGAACACCGATTCGGTCCAGACTGGTTTCGAGAATATTTCCCAAATATCTCTCCAAATGTTGTCCGTATAAATGCCGTCTGGAGGGCCTTTTTAACACCCACATTGCTTTCTTGTCGAATCAACATCGGCTCGACACGTTATGGTTTCATGGGTTACCAACCAAACTTGGTACCTCGATAGTTGGGACTCAGCCAAATGCTGCCTTCGTCCTTGTTCTACCCTGCACTGACATCGTTTGGGTGGGTCGACAACTCACTGTTGAGGAACATAAGGCTTACCTTATATTCCATCGGGCCACTCAAACTCTTGAACTTCCAGTGTTCGACTTTGAACACTCCTTTACTTCAAAGTTTTTCGACCAATGGTGGCCCACCAGGAGAAATATTTCTCCATACTCAACTTCCTTCAAAGGCTTATTGACGCTTTTAATGCCTTGAAGACTCAACAACCTCTTGCACCATTGATTTCTTAGAATCAGGAGCGTCCTTCACCAGTCGAATTGAACCAGACTTCGCCTTCTTAAAAAATGCGAGAAATGACACCTTCCTTCTTTGTAGGATCAGTCCCACAAACACACAATGTTGTGTCGATAAACTTAGAGGTATTCTTTTCCTATTTTATTTTCAAATTCTATTCTTGTTCTTTATGCTAACTTGGGAATCCTCCCCAAGGGCTATCTTGTACAGGCGGCAACATTGAAAGGTCCGATCATCCAACTTTCATTAAACTCACTTGTCATATCTTGAATGAAGTTCCGCCCCTCGACTCCGCCACCCAGAAGAAGATCGAAGTGCTAAAAAAACAATATTTATTGGCAGCATTTAGGAAGATCCACCTTCTCCAACATACTCCAATTGCTTCACCAAACCCTGGTTAGAAGTCTCCACCCATCGTTGAACTAGACGCTGAAGTAATCCACGCGCTTCACGAACTAAGGTCTTATCTGTTGAAAAGTGAGTTTTTAGTTATCGTCGAGGAGGAAGCTTTCATGGCGACTACGATTTTTAAACTTCTCGACACCATCTCTCAATATCCTCTTATCGATTCTTTGGCTCGATACTTGATATATTTTGAGGCTTTCTTCAACCAACTTGCAAAAGATCTCTCCTTTCGTCGACACACCGACCTTTAACTTAAAACTAAAGCAAATGAGATGAGATGTGAGTGGGACTTGAGTGAAATTTATGTTCAAAAAGCTAATGACCTCGAGGACAAGAGAGACAACCGTCTAGAGAAGCACGCTGCTTTGGACCAGGAAATCCTGAGTTATCGAACCCATATCGTTGCGCTCAATTAGAAGGTTGTCGACCTTGAGCATCAGAAGGCCTCATTGGATTCATTTGATGATCCTGGATTCTACATAGTTCAACAATCTACTCTTGAGGGAATAAACTCATGGCGAAAAAGCCCTTCAACTCAGGAACAATATTAACCACCTTTCAGCTAAAAGGATTCGCCTCGACCAAAAAATTACCTACAAAAGAGTCTTCTTGGAAAACCTCAAATCTTTGTTTCCTTTGTAATTTCGATGTTTCCCCCATTTCAATTGGGTTTTATTTTTGTATACGTAATCCCATTTGATAGTCATCTTGGCACTTGTCCATTTTGGCCCATGATATTCGACATGCTTTATTTTGCAGTAATTTAAATCTCTTGAAGCATAAATTAATACTTTTTCAAATATTTACCATTTACTTTCAATATTCTTTGATCGAAGCCTAACTCTTAGATCTCATACGCATTATTGGTGAACGCCTATAGTATTTGGAATGGTCCTTCCTAATTCAGTGACCACATCCCCAAAGTTCTATCTTTTTGATCCATAGGAAGAATAACTTTCCACACGTAGTCACCGACCACGAACATTTTTATCTTAGCCTTTTTATTATAGGCCCTTGCAACCCGCTCTTTTTATCGAATTATCACATCCTGCGCAACTAGGCTTTCTTCATCCAGATCCATTGTTTCATCCAATATCATATTCCAATATTGTTCTGATGAAAGTTCGTGTTGGCGCTACACTCGTACTGATTGCAAGTGTATCTAAACTGGAAAGACTATGTTGTGTCCAAATTCCAACCAAAAGGGCATCGACCCAACCGTTTCCTTGGGAGACGTCCGACAAGCCCATAAAACTTGATCCAACGTCTTGTTCCAATTTTTGGGTTTCTTAGTGACGAGTTTCTTAATTAACCCAATTATTACTTTATTGGAAGCCTCGACCTGACCATTGACTTGAGCGTAATAAGGCGTGGATGTCACCAACTTAAAGCCAGTTTTAGATGCAAACTCTTGCATCTTCTGCCCAATAAAAACTGATCATTGGTCTGTAATAATTGTCTCAGGAATCCCAAATCTATAAATGATATACTTTTGAATAAAGTCAATCACTGCTTCTTGGTCTACATTAATCAATGGTACTGCTTCTATCCATTTAGTTAAGTATTCTATCCCTACTAGGATGAACTTTTGTTGTTTCAACGAGGTCGGTCGAATTTCTCCTATGACATCCAGCGCCCATCCTCGAAACAACCATGTCTTAATGATCGTGTGAAATTCGCTTGCAAATACATGTTGAATACCTGCATGCTTTTGGCATTCTTGTCAGCCCTTAGCAAATTCAATACAATCCTTTAACATGCTTGGCCAATAAACACCCTGTTGAAATAGTAGCCATTTCATTTTATGGCCAGCTTGGTGGTCCCCTCAATCTCCAATATGGACCTCGACTATCTCCAAATATGCTTTAGTATCTCCTAAACACTTGAGTAATACCCCTTCAAGAATCTTTTTAAAAAATTCATTTCTCATCCACACGTAACTCAAAGCCCTATTTTTTACTTTCCTATCCATATTTCCAAATGGAGCTTCCAAAAAATTCACAATTGGCTTTCGCCAATCTGTGTCTTACAAATTGTCAATAGAAAAAATTTCAAAAATTTCAAAATTTTCG